AGGCTGATGCCATGGCACTCTAGCCTGGGCAACAGAGTGAGACTCTGTCTTAAAAAAAAAAAAAGAATAGAAATGGCCACTGCCACAGCCACGAGGGACTTAAGGAGATAAGAGGACTAAATGTACTGTGGGATCCTGGAACAGAACAACTAAGGAAATTGAAATAATGTATGGACTGTAGTAAATAATAACGTATCCACGTTGGTTTACTAATTGTAACAAATACCCCACCATAATAATAATATGATGCTGATAATAGGGGAAACTGGGTGACTTTCTGTGCTACCTTTGAAATTTTTCTGAGAATCTAAAACTGTTCTAAAAAATAAAGTTTACGAAAAAAATAGTCATGATAAAAACACAACAAAACAGAAGGAAAGAAGAGTCAGTTCCTGGGTACAGGCTTCCTTTGCACAGGTGCCAGACACATCTGTGACTTCGTCTGACTCACAGCATCCTCAATGTAGATTATATTATGCCCATTATACAGAAGAGGAAACTGAGGCCAAGATATGATGAATGACTCATCCCGGGCTCACTGCCAGCAGGGAGCAGAGCTGGGATTCAATTGCGCAGCTTTGCCTGATTCCAAGGCCGGGCGTTTTTGGAACCCTGCACGGTGTGTACGCGTTACGAGTTGACTCCCAACATCTCTCCCATCTCAAGTTCAAAATCCATTCCATGGGGCGTGATGAGTTAAAATGAATTTTTTTCATTCCCCCTAAGCCCTGGGGTGGCGTCTGTTATTATTTTTTCAGACCGCTGCTGGAATTCCTAGAAGAAACTCCTTCTCTACTGTTAATTAAATCCACTTCCTTAAGTGTTTGCTGGGCACTTGGTCAGTGCCCTAGGGGACACTTAGGTTCCTTAAGGGGACAACACAGCCCTGTCCTCAGGGAACTGGAGATAGACCCAAAGGCAAATATTGAAAACAGTGCCATATCTGACCCAAGGCCTGGCCAGGCCAGTTAAATCCTGAGGACGTGCCAGGTGTTAACTCCAACCTCACTATGCTGATCGGGTGCCCCAGTGCGGGGTGCGTGCGGTGCTTCTGCACAGGCGAGCTCAGATTCTAGCCCAGAGCAGTCTCATTTCAGAGCCCGCATTCTTTACCGCTCGGCAGCACTGTTCCCCAAAGTCCCCTACCGCTTCTCCTGAGACCCTTCTTCCCCCCGTCCCACCTGCCTCCCCCGGCCCCTGCCAGCCTCACCTCGGAGCCAGCGCAGGAGGAAGTAGTCGTCAGCATTGGACAAGGTGGGCAGCAGGTCCCGGAGGTTCTCCTGGAACTGAGGGTAGGAGGATCTGATGGTCAGTGGGGCTCTCATGACCCCTGGGGCCACCAACCCCATCCCCAACTCTTCCCACCCTCGTCAGCCATCATCCTACCCAGGGACGCTGCAGGGTGGGGACCACATGGTTAGCAACAGCTGCCCTGAACCATTTTGCCATCTGGGAATGGGGCACCCTCCAGCTCACCATTCCAGGAGAAAGAACTGGATCTTTCTCAAAATTTGGGAGCATCCTGTCCCCAAAGACTCTCACTCCACAAGTGGGGCTCCGGCATCCCTATTTTTACAAGGATCCCTGGGTGATTCTGATGCAGGCCAGGCAGGAGGTTTTAGAGACATTGTCCCTGATACTATATTTTAAGGGTCTGGATTGGGAGGCAAGCTATTTAACCTCTCTCTGAGCCTCAGTTTCCTTATCTGTGAAGTGGGGATAATGATAAACTCGATCAAAGAAGTTTATGCATGTAAAGCACCTAGTGTCAGGCCTGGCTCTAAGCAGATGTCAGATAAAGGTGGCTGCGCATTCAGCGTGGACTGCCTGAAGCCTGGGACAGTGGACACTTTGTGGAAAAAAACAGAGGCAAAGGTCCACAGAGAGGAAGTGGCTGAAAGAGAAGCCAGGGATGCCTCATCAGGACATCTGGGGGGCTGGGGGAAAAGAAGGTGGCCGACCCGCTGGGGGGTGCTTTTTCCTACTGGCAGACTTTAGGGAAGTCACTAGGAGTTTGAGGCTCAGGTCTGAGTGAGAGAGAGGAGACCTCACTTCCCTGGGGACTAAGGGAGCTGAAGGCAAGGGCTGGGTTGGAGGTGAATCTGTGAACCAGAATTTGGGATTAGAAACATATGTGAGCCAGCCAGGTGTGGTGGCTGATGCCTATAATCCCAGCACGTTGGGAGG